TTTTTTTTTTTTACAAGACTTCATCCATGGGCATTATTTTGGATACATGTAGGAATTTGTGTCAGGAGCCAGAGAAATCATGTGAGAAAAAGAAATAGGACTGAGAATGTTTGGGCTGAGAATAGGACGGTTCCCAGTGTGTCTGGCCTGTTAGCCAGAACATTGACTTTTAGAGGTGGCTGGGACCAAGAATATTTCAAATGTAAACTCCAAGAATAGAAAGTAAAGAAAGAGAACCTCAGACTCACCCTCTTGTGTTTACCACCAGAATCAGGTCCTAGAGTGCTTGACGCACAGCAGACACTCAATAGTGTTTGTGGAATCCATGCATGAGTGCATGAATGAATAAATATAAAATCAGTTGCGTCCCTGAATATTTTTATAGTAGCTAATGACAAGTCTAAATGGCACCAAGCTTATTTACACCTAGTGGAATCACCATCACTCTCAACAAATATTTGAGATGGCAGGGTGTATAATATATCTTATCAAGTCAAGCATACTTTCATTATCAGAATATTTTCCTCTGAAAGCAATACCTTCTCCAACTGAGCATATAACAGTTTATTGTTCTTAAGTAATGAAGAATCCTATTATGGTTTGATATGGTTCATAACACTAGTTGTTTTTGAAGCTGCATTGCAGACTCAGTGGTCTAAGGGAAGAGAGAGCAGGACACTTGTATCTAGCAGTTTTTACCCCTGAAATAGAGACATGTCACCAGGATGAGGATGTAGTCATCTCCAACCAATATATGCCATGTAATGTTCTTCATCCTAAGTGAACTGAGGTGTTTTTTTGTTTTTGTTTTTGTTTTAAAGATTACTTATTTGAGAGAGAGAGAGAGGGAGAGAGAGAGAGAGAGAGAGAGAGGCAGAGACACAGGCAGAGGGAGAAGCAGGCTCCATGCAGGGAGCCTGAAGTGGGACTTGATCCCGGGTCTCCAGGATCAGGCCCTGGGCTGAAGGTGGCACTAAACCACTGAGCCCCCAGGCTGCCCTGAACTGAGGTTTTTGATTAGCATTTGATACAGATGAATATGGTAAATACATCACTTCCTCCTAAATCATAAGTATCAATTTTTTCACAAAAGTCTGAATCTGTTGAAAAGAAGAGAATGCTATTTCAAGCAGTGCCACCAGCCTGATTTCACAGATGTAACACATGTGTACTGGGATTTGGGGACAGTAATAAGGCAGAGGAAGTGTGTGGCACATGCATCTGTTCGGTCATCCCTCAAACAAACAGAGCAGCAAAGTTGAGCCCCTACAGGAAAGAATCTAAGCCAAAGGGAGACAGTAAAGCAAGATATACAATCTCCCAGTCACAGCTGGAGGGACAGTCCTTGCATAAATGGAGGGTGAAAATCTCAGGCAAGGTAATATTCCAGGTTGCCGGGTGAAGCCAGATGAAAAGGAAGGGAGCCTGACTGGTCAGGTATAATTCTGGCATAAGCATGGGTAGGGTGCCTATGTGGAGTTTAAGACCGAGGCAAGGAAATTAGTTAGGAACAAATATCAGGACAGGCATTTTAGGTTTGGAAGTGGCAAGCTGATCTATAGGAAGACATAGTCAAAGTTGATCTTAGTAGCATTAAGAATATTCACAGTCATTTGACACCAAAAGCAAAGGCAACCAAAACAAAAACAAGTGGGTCTACGTCAAACTAAAAAGCTTCTGCACAGTGAAGGAAACCATCAACAAAATGAAAAAGCAGCCTATCTAATGGGAGAAAATATCTTTAAATCATATATCTGATTAAGGGTTAATATCCAAAATATATAAAAAAAACTCATACAACTCAAATAAAAAAAAAATCAGGGATGCATGAGTGGTTTAGTGTTTGAGCATCTGTCTTCGGCTCAGGGCATGATCCAGGTCTGGGGATGGAGTCCTGCATCAGGACTCCCTGCTAGGAGCCTGCTTCTCCCTCTGCCTACATCTCTGCCTCTTCCTCTCTCTGTGTCTCTCATGAATAAATAAATAATAAAAAAAGAAAAAATAATAAAATATGATTAAAATCGGCAGAAAATGTGAGTAGATATTTTTGCAAAAAAGACATACAAGTGGACAATGGGCATGTGAAAAGGTGCTCAACATCACTAGTCATCAGGAAAATGCTAATCAAAACAGCAATTAAAGAGGACCTCACACCTATTAAAATAGCTATAACCAAAAAGAAGAAATAAGTGTGTTGGTGAGGATGTAGAGAAAAGGGAATGTTGTGCACTGTTGCTGGGAATATAAATTGGTTTAGCACTACAGAAAGCAGTATGAAAGTGCCACAAAAAATTACAAATGGAAATATCATGTGATCCAGCAATTCCACTTCTGGGTATCTGTCTGAAGAAAACAAAAACATTAATTCAAAAAGATATATGCACGCCTATGTTTACTGCAGGATTTTTCACAATAGTCAAGATATGGAAGCAGCCTAAGTGTCTATGGATGGATGAATCACACACCATCAACCACAAGCTCTTGCCCAGACACATAGAATGCCTTATCTTGTGGGAGCTTAGAGTCAGAAACAAAGTCTAACATTTGGAGCAGAGTGAGGCCTCTTATGATGAACTATAAAAGAAAAAAACTGAATTTAAAGTAAACCTGTCAGGGCACCTGGGTGCTCAGTGTTAAGCATCTCCCTTCAGCTCAGGACATGATCCTGGGGTCCTGGGATCTCAAGGGGAGCCTGCTTCTCTCCCTCTGCCTATGTCTCCATCTCTTATGAATGGATAGATACAATCTTAAAAAAAAAAAAGTAAACCTGCCAAAGATAATGGTAGAGTTGTTAAATAATCCTCAACCTTCAAGCCAGTTGTCTAACATGCACCTCTAGAATAAAGAGGTACTTCTTTAGAGAGAATGCATGAATTGACCTGCGAACACAACACGCTATTTTATATACAGTGGTAAGTCTCCTTTTCAACATCTGCTGTTTCATGAAAGTGATAAACACCGGAATGATTATTTAAAAGAAAAAGAAAAAAAAGATCTTCCTCTGAGGATACAGCCCCTTAGGAAGGCAGTCTTTCCACCAGCGGAACGGTGATTTTGAGCTGCAGGGAGAACCTAGCTTTAAATGTATCTTCCCTGCTGCTTCACAGCACCTCAAATTCCCATCAGCTTGGGGGCTCTACTTCCCTTAGGAGCAAGGCTTCGAGGTTTGACACAAGTCTCTCCAAGTTACACTTCTACATACGAGCTCTTTTATCCTTGGACGACTAGCAGAGTGTTCTAATGGAGCAGGAAAAGGGACGATAGGAATGCTCAGTGCGGGTATCAGAGAACAGTCCTGATTGTAGCCGGAGCAGGAAAGTCCAATTGCTAACTGACCACTTTGGAGCAGCCAGTGCCAGTCTTCTGTTCAAACGAGCCCACAGTGCCCCCTGCAGGGAGGAGAGCAGAGGTTTGGCTGGTTTTGTTTTTGGTTATTTCACCGTTAAGTTCTTTGTGGGTAGCTATGAAGATGAAAAATATGAAATGTCTCAATCTACCAGTTTAATGGGAGTTTAGCTCTTAAAGTTTGTGGGCAACAGAATCAGTACACCCAGGAATGACAATCTTCCCTTCAAAAGACAAACAGAAGTCTTTTAAAGTTTAATCTTGGAGAAACATATGACCCCTTTCCCTTCACTTTAATAGACATATCTTGCCATCTTTATGACTTTTATGATTTTTAATCCTGTGTATGCTTAGTTTTAAATTATTGTAATTATATGTATACGAAACTTAATTTTTATCAATCTACTTTATAATGCTTCAATGGCCACATGAGTCTATTAAGTTGCTGGATAATAATTTAGTTAATCATATTCATAGTTTTGTACCTTGACCCTTTGGCCAGTGTGTAATCTAAATGATGTGTACAAATGACTTTTTTCCCTTGAATTACTTCTTTAGGATAACAGGCATAGTGACAGATGTGGCAGATGTGTAGACTCTAGAGGAAGAAAGATTTTAATTTGGAGCCAGACTTTTTCACTTTTAGGCAGCGTGCCTGTGGGAATATTAATAATCCTCTCTGAAGCTCAGATGTGTCTCCTTTATAATGGGGCTGGTAAGACTTCAAAGACAAAACACAAATACTACATCTACTATGTGGTGGCAGTGTGATAATAGCATAATGAAAGGCCGCTACTGTGTTGCAACAAAAGTTGTTAACTTTAAAAATGATTAAGTAGGATACCTTTCCTAATCCTCCACTTCCAAAACCCTATCCAGTAACACAGTAAACACAGTGCCTATCCAGCTGTCCCCATTTCTTTTTCTCTTAAAGAGGGTGTGTTTTTAGGCTGCTGGAATAGAAGTCAAGGTATCTAGCACAGTTAAGAACAGGAAAGAAGAGGAAGAGTTCAGTGTAAGAAGGAACATTGATTTGGGAGAGACCCTGGAGCATACAGAGAACTCAGAGAGTGGAGGAAGGGACATTTAAAAGGTGTTGGCCTACATTATGAATCATATCCCTCTAATGCTCTTCAGTGAGTCACAATAAAGAATGTAAACACTTTGTAAAACATGTGGCTGCTGAATTCTGCCACTGGAATGTGACTTTGCGAATAAGCAATGTGGATCAAAGATGAATAAGAATTGAGCCATTGTCACCATCTTTATTATTATTATCACATATTTATTCATAGACTTGAGATTGAGGGGTGAAATCATTTTCATGACTAATAGCATTTCTCTATTTAGAAAGAATATTCTGGTTTATACCGATCTGACTCCCTTTGGAAAGGGAGTACCAAGCTCTTCCCCTGGTCATCTGATGCGCCAGGGGCTCCAGCTTGTTGAGGTACACCAGTCATCAAGTATCCTCTCCCCAGAAACTTGAGTATGTCTGGGCTTGCTGGTGATGGGACTCACTTAATCTTTGGGGGAAAGGGATGCTTCTGGAGTATGCTGATGTTTTCATGAGAAGCAAAGGCAAGGCAAGGACTTGACAGCTGTTCTCTCCCCAAGCCACTTCCTCTGGCCCCTCTGGCAGGTATATCATCGTGTAGAGGGGCCATCGTTAATGTTTATTGTCTCAGCAGCTCCACAGTAAGTGTATACAGCTACATCACAAATCACAAAATGTCTAATCTAGATTTACCACACTGATGAAAACAGCAGTTTCAGCCTTGAAGGGATCCAGTTCTTAAAGGCACCTCGAGGACTTCAGTTTTCAGAGTTCAAACAAGACGTCTGTTATCTTCTTGACCTGAATCCCTAGTGAAAAGCTAAAGATGAACAATATCTGTATTAGCTCAAAGTCACAATTAAATGGAAAGCAAAATTAGAACAACAGCAAAACCATGGATGTAGACCAGTTCACAAGAGTTATAAAACATTAGCAGCTCTGTAAATAAATAATGCTCCTGGCCAAGAGTAAATAATTAGGAAGTATCTATCTTTGCATTATAAATAGCAGTAGAAATGAGAACATTCACTTATAAAAGGAATAGTCACTCCAGTACCTCAGTCTAATTAAAGACTAAAAAAATATAAGACATCTAGAAAAAAGAAATGTTTAGGTCACCACCAATCTATACTGATAAAAATCTTGGAGTAAGACTAAGACTATACCTGCTGCCCACAGTAATAATTTGCAACACCACCACTAGAATGGAGGCAATGTGCTGATAAGTTTTGTGTGACATTGGAATCCCTTTAGTAAAATACGATAGATGTTCCTGGAAATGTGAAATGTCAAAGATGTCCTTGAGTGAGGAGCTTTCAAAAAAAGAAATTATTTGATATATTTAAGCCATTTTAAAGGGAAGCTTGAAGTTCTATTGAATAGATTAAATTTAGTAGAAAGTTCTAATTCAGAAGCATCAGATGAAAAGGAGTTTGGAATTCTTGAGATGGAGGGCAATGGCTAGGATAGTGAAGCCTGAAGCATGGTAACTCTTACTGTCACCCTTACACACATACACACACATGCATACACAAGCATACACACACAGACCACATAATAAAAACATATATATCAATTTAAAAATATGTCATAATAGCCAACAATGGAAAAAAAGAGATGCCTTAGTACCTGGGAGGGCCATTGGATGGGCAGAATTTGGAAAGGCTGGGATGAGTGGCTGGCTTCAGCAAGCTTGTCTGCAAGTGAAGCTTGGATCTTTTTAGTACAGGGGTGAGATTAGCACACCCCCCCCCCCATGCAATCGCCACCAGCAGCAACCCTCTGCTTCTTCTGCTCCTACCAGCCTCCAGATTCACTCCTCTTCCTGCCAAATGCCAAGACTCTCTTTATGAGCAGGAAGGGAAGAGGGAAGGAGGGGCAGGTAACAGGAGCTGACCTTGCTTTATCATCTTGAAAGAGGGCCACTAATGGGGCAACTGGCTGGCTCAGCTAGTAAGGCATGTGACTCTTAATCTCAGGATTGTGAGTTTCAGCCCCATGTTGAGGGTACATTTACTTTAAAAAAGAAGGAGGGCTGCTAAATAAGCCTCTAGAATTGTTTTGTTTTGTTTAAATGCTGGCACTCTAACAGGATATCAGGCATGACTCCTCATACTGGCACATAAAAAGAGAATAGGGTATATAACTATACCTCTAGCATAATGTATTAGCCTTTTAAGAAATTAAGTCATATAAATACCTCAAGAAATTGTTTTTTCTTTTTTTTTTTAAAGAAAATTTTTGTGGTTTTATTATATCATGAGTCATTGAAACATCCGAACAAATCAATATCTGGGCGGTGAGGCAGCTGCTTTCTCCTTCACTTCTTTGGGTTACTAGAGCAACTTGTCAGTAGATTAAAAAAAAAAAAAAAAAAAAAGACAACCTTTTGCATTACTTAAGTCTTTCCAAGGCATGCGCTGGTACCACACAAACTTCTCCTGTCAGATGCAACTATTCTAGCATCCAAACATCATGCCACTCCCACCGCGGCCCTGCTCATTTGTGTATGATATTTGGAGCATCTGGAGGAGTGTGAATAGTTATCAGGAAGAGGAGGGAGGAGGAAACAGCATGAGTGCCTGGCTGGGAAGAGGTCAGCCGAAGTTGTGCAAGGCAAGCCTGAACATGTCATTGGTGCAAACCCAAGCATCACTGATGTTCTTTAATAGGAACATCTGGTGGAACCCCATGATGGGGTCTTCATCAGCCTTGAGCTGGCCCACTACCATGCTGATGATGCAGCTATCTGGCGTGGGCTGATGGTCCTGTGCCGTGATGCTGTGCTGGATTTTCTGGAACGGAAGGCTAGACAACTTCTCCACAATGGCAGCTTTCCCCTGGAACTGCTGTCCTTCCCATGTAAGGCATGATGCATCAATATAAATTGCACCTAGTTGGGTTCTGTCGTTATCAAATAACTGGTAGTAATGCTGAATGAAGCTGGATGCAATCTGCTCCCAAATTGGCTTGTCTCCCATTCTGGAGCGTCACCCGGCCTTGTTGAGACCCGAGGGGCTGGCACGATGGAGGCAGCGGTGGCGGCGGCGGCAACCCAGCGCTGTTTTTTATTTCATACAAACACCCCTTCTTCTTCTTTATTGCTATACCATAGACTTCCAGAGTAATTTACTCTCTAGACCCCTCTTAGTGTATAGGGACCTGAGAACACATTGATTATAAAGAAACATTAATTGAAACGCATTTCCTGTGATTAGGAGTATTTCTCTGTTACTAAAGACTATCTACTCAAATCCCACAAAATGAAAATTTTAAACAGAATCCTTCTTTTCACCGTCTTAGGCTTAGATCCTGCTTAAGGCAAAGACAAACACTTGGTACAACAGACACTGCGCCTCTATGCACGTTAGCTAAACGCGCTGCAAACATTCTGCTCCACTACCCTGACTTGACTGGCCTCTCCATTTCTTTTTGTTCTGGGGAGCACAGAACTTTTGGCAGAGTTTTGGATCACAGTGGCCCAGGTATTAGAAAGGGATACCCACTAATGATAGCTCTTAATCTGCAAAAAGAAAACAAAACAAAAGAAAAACATCATGCTGAGTATTAAAATGCAAGTTTCACAGTGGCTTGAAATCCTATCAAGGAAATAGTCAAGGGAGCAGAGAAATTGGTGGGCGATTGGGATAGGTGGGAAATGCTTTGACATGAAGAAAAACACCATTATCATCAGGACTTGCTGACATTTGACAAACACTGGGATGGGGGGGAGGGTTGTGGAGAGAAACTCTTGTCTGAGGCACATCCTGACTTGAAGGGATCTGAAGAGAACAGATGCTGGAGATAGGTCTCCATGGGAATTCTGCTAAAAAGCAGTGGTTTTCAAAATGTGGTCCTGGACCAGCAGCATCAATATCATTTAGAACTTTTTAAAAACATTAACTCTTGGGCTTTGCCTTTACCTACCAAATTAGCTAGGTGATTCTAATGTAACTACTGAGTTACATTTCATCTGGGCTTTCATTTTCATGCTGCATCCCAGGCTATGTGCGTGTGTCCACATTTAAAATTTTGGATTAGAATAGAAACCTTTACATTTTTGCTTGTTTTAAGCCAGGGTGTTAGTGGAGGAATAACAAACACACAGCGCACTTACTGAGTTATAAGAAGTCATCTAAAATGATAGAAAAAGGCTGATAGGGAAACAGGCAAATATCTTTTATATGTATATAAATATATATACACACATAAAAATATCTTATATTTTATATTTATTATATATAATATATATTAATATATATTTTATATATTTTTATATTGTGTGTGTGTGTGTATATATATATATATATATATATATATATATATATATATATATTCTTTTCCTTGACAGTCAAGTGTGGGTCGCTTGAAATTCTCTTGATTTAAAAATCATATTTGTTTTCATTTGGAAGGAACATGAAACATCTGTTTCATCCTAACATCTTAGGAACATCTGTTACCACCTTCCTGTTTTACAGATGAGGAAGCTGATGGGGTAAGTATATATTGACATGCCCAGGTTACTCAGAAATTCACCATCCTGGTTCTAAGGTAGAGGGATTATAGGTAAAAGTTTAAGTTCAGTAGATAGTCTTGATTTGGAGGGAAAATAAAATGTTGACCCACATTTTATAAAATTAAATGGGTCATTTAACTGTCTTCCACAACTCCTGGCTGCTGTCAGAGGCTAGTGGCTAAGTCTCAGATCATGAGAGGAACACATTCTCTTTCTCAAGAGGCCAAGGCTTAGCAGAGCAGACCAGGGCCCCAGCTGCAAGGCTGCCTTTGTCAAGGGAATGAAAGAGTCTTTCACTCCCTGCTTCTTCCTGCCCCCATGCCCAGCAAAGCACCAGCAGCAGCCACACCTTCCTTCTGGGAATGCATTCTTCAATTCTGGAAGGAAATCATAAGTGACTTGCCTAGGAAGGATTGCTCGTAAGTAGGTAAAGGAATAAACTTTACTGTGATCATGGATCACTATTATTTTACTTATGCACAGTATCCTACCTTTCAGAAGGCACTTAAAGGAGCACTTTGTATTTTAAGGTCTGTCCCATCCTCTCCCTGGCCTCAACATCCTCAGAAGGCAGAGGGATGGAGAGCCAAACCTGGGTCCGTGTCTCAATGCTTCCTGAAGTGCTGGGCTCCATGGATATTTGGTGAATTACTGAGTGAATGTGCGAGAGGGATGAGGGAAACAGGCAATGGAAATCAGAGGGAAATTTTCCTGTTTGCCAGATGAGAGTTGAATACTTTGATTTTTCCTTTACATTTAGGAGTAATGAGAGTTAGAAGACACAAAGTCATGTTCGAGTCACCCTGAAGTCAAGCATGGCAACCCAGATCCTTATATATTTCCTGGTCTGGGCAAAGATTATTTTCGAAGAGGATAATGCCTGGGTTGGGAAACATTCCAAATCAGAGTCCAGGCAGCCTTCACAACTGGGATAAGTTATGGTTCCAAATGAAAATGAAAACCCAAATTAACAATAACAACAAAAAGCAGTGGTGAAATCACACCAAGATTTGGAGACAAAATGTTATATGTCATATAACTAAGGTGTCTGCTATTACTATGACGCCAATTATCTTGAAGAGTATAAAACTACTGTCTCTCCTTTGCAATACTAATAATTCTATATTTTTCCTACTATAGCTTCTGCAATGGCTTTTAAGTGACTAAGTGAGTTAATATGGTTTATTCGTTCTGTCTGGGCCTCTTGCTATATAAAATCTTAATAAACAGTGATGTGGACAAGATGTCAACACTTGGAAGAAAAAGATATGGAACAATGATCTTGGAAGCAAATCAATAGCTGATTTAATTTAAAGAAACATGGAGGGGATCCCTGGGTGGCGCAGCGGTTTGGTGCCTGTCTTTGGCCCGGGGCGCGATCCTGGAGACCCGGGATCGAGTCCCACATCGGGCTCCCGGTGCATGGAGCCTGCTTCTCCCTCTGCCTGTGTCTCTGCCTCTCTCTCTCTCTCTCTCTCTCTCTGACTATCATAAGTAAATAAAAAAAAAATTAAAGAAACATGGAAGTATGTGAAGGAAAAAAAACCCTGCAATTTGTTTTTTAATACATTATTATGCTCAAGAAACTTATGGTTTGATACATTAGGCTTTTAAATTTTCACTTTAGTAAAAATTGATTGGAAAATATAAAACAAACATCTAAATATGTAGATAGCTTGACTTCTCTAAATACTGCATTTGACACATAATGAACTGATTAAGTTGACAAGATGTTTTAGATTCTGACACTTAAGCTTGCAACTCTAGCAGGAAAGACATAAAATGACTTATTAGAAATAACTTCCTATTGGCAAATTTTTTAAAGTAAGGAGGAATAAAAATATCTTGGCTGCAAATTTGGAAAATTGGGGAAGTAATAGTCTATTTCAATGATTGATAAGCATGCTCTAAATGCTGAAATTCTATTTTATTTTTGATGGCCCTTCTTCCTCAAAAATTTTCCGGATTGATTTTTGTTTATTTTGAAGCTCATGTAAGCCCAGTGAGGGGAGAGGACATGCCCGTTTATTCCTGTATCTCAGCAGCTAAGGAAGACCTGACTCATGCGGGTAAAATGGAAAGGAGATAGGAAGCAACAAAAGAAACAGTATTTTTTGTTGACATGTTTAAAATACCTTAAACTGATAATTTCTTTGAAAGAAAAATAATGAGCTTTAGTATTTTGTTCCCATGATCATTTTAGTTTATGAATAGTAATAGATATGTATTGAATCCTTTTCTTGTTGATAATATTTAGACTTCAGCCATGTTCCAGCAAGAATAGGGAATACACAAAGAAATTATGGACTGTAAATTTGTCGAGGCAAATGATTATTCACATTTATTCAGAGACTGTATTATGTTTTTAAAGCTTAATAAAAGTAATTTTAGGGGATCCCTGGGTGGCTCAGCGGTTTGGCGCCTGCCTTTGGCCCAGGGCTCGATCCTGGAGTCCCCGAATCGAGTCCCGCGTGGGGCTCCCGGCATGGAGCCTGCTTCTCCCTCCTCCTCCCTCCCTCTCTCTCTCTCTCTCTCTCTCTGCCTATCATAAATAAATAAATATTTTTAAAAAAGTAATTTTAATATGTATCTATTGTTATGTTTGAACCAAAATTCTTTAGGTTAAGGACTATATAATCACACTGGCCAGTGAGAAGATGTAACCAGGGAAGCTTGCTTCTCCTTTGCCTGTTTAACTAACAAGGCTGAGAAAATACTGACTTCTACCTCCCCGTTTGTTCTCAGATCCCCTGCTCTAAGAGGAGCTCCAATTACACTATTTTAAAATCGCAAAAAAAGTACGTGTAGGCTTTTAGCCTTTTATAACTAATATATTTTCAGAACTCAGCTATGCTCAAAATTTCAGCTGGAAACTGAGTTGAGCATCATAAATAGGTACTCAGATATTTGTTTCTTTAAAATTGCTGAGAGAAATATAAGATATAAGATTATCTTCAAAATAATGAGGAAGTACAGAAATTTAGAGAAAGGTGCCCAAGGCAAGGATGGTTATGGTGGTACTGGTGTTGCTGATGGTGGTGATAGTAGTGTGATAATCTTAGTGGAGAGAGAGGACAAGTTTCCACGGCAATTGCGGCACTTGGGATCTAGAAAGCAAAGAATATAGAAAGCATAGTTTGTTCTCGAACAGCTGAAAGTGTAGTGTGGCTAGAGCACAGGAGGTGTAAAGAGAGGGAGGAAGAAGAAATGAAGTTGAGATGAGAAATCCAACCTGATTTTTATGGAGACTTTTAGACCATTTTTAAAATTTATTTTTTATTTTTTATTTATGATAGTCACAGAGAGAGAGAGAGAGAGGCAGAGACACAGGCAGAGGGAGAAGCAGGCTCCATGCACCGGGAGCCTGATGTGGGATTCAATCCCGGGTCTCCAGGATCGCGCCCTGGGCCAAAGGCAGGCGCCAAACTGCTGCGCCACCCAGGGATCCCTAGACCATTTTTTAAATATTTTAAATTTGTTCTCCAGGCAGTATAGAATGATTCAAGGATTTTAAACAGGAGAATGAAGTGAACAGATTTTATTTTAGAAAACTGTGGTCACAGATGGAGAAACGATTGAGTTAGAGAGACCAGAAAGAGAAACCTATGACAGAAATTCAGGTAAGGGATGACACTAGTTTGAACTA